TGTCTTATTGTATGGTGACAAAGTTACTTAATCACCTTAAAGCAGGGTGATTATGTAGTACTTTATCGACCTGATTTTAAATAAATAATTTGAGTAAAACTGAATAAAACTATATATGTTATTAAAATGAGTATCATGCGTGGGAAAAAGTTTTTGCTGTGATTTTTAATTTTTCTAATTTGTTTTCGATTAGAATAACTATGTTCGGTGTGAAAATACTTTTATTTTGATCTTAAGCAAACTTGAAAAAAAAATCCCGGCAAAAAATTTTTCGCACTTATTAACCCACTAGCGGCTGCGGTGACTTATACGTCCCCTATAAATTATTTTACATAAAACTCATCTATTTTCCTCAATTTTGAGTTTATCTCCGCGGGAGTCATTTTATGATACAGTAAACAATATGGGACACACATGTGTACAGTTAAACGGTTCTACCTACTCATCTTCCAAATTATTTAACCGTGTAAAGTTGAGGTGTGAACAATTAAACTAAATTTATGGAAAACAAAAAACAGCAGCCTTTAAGGTATGGTAAATTTTTTTAGTAGAAAACTATTTTAAAATGTTTTAAAAAAGTTTTTCAATTTATTATTAATTATTCTTTGAAATTATTTTTTGAAAAAAATTTTTCTGTCATTATTTTAGAAATAAGAACTACATTTTTCCATACATAAATAAATTGGCCTTATAGGGCACCTCAGTTGTCACAGGGTGGGTATACAGTTTTATAATATGTGAGTTTAGAGTAAATACAACAGTCGNTGTGAATAATATGTTTTTATTAAATAAACTATTTTTTTTGCATTATTGTTTTTTAGTAATGTTTGAAAATAAAGAGTAAACGTATTGTTGGGTAAATAATAGTTCCTATGGCCATTTATATAACATTTTAGTTAATTAATTTTGCCTTTCTCATAAATTTAGGAAAAATTCTGTAAACCCGCCCTGCAGCAACTGTGGTGACTTATAAGGCCACTCTTAAAATCCCTAAAAAAACACCTTTAAAATTTTTTTTTTGCATTTTTTACTTTTTTTCCTTGATCTAACCAATAATAAGTATTCTTAATCAAATTTTCAAAGAAAAATATAAAAAAAAATTCTTCAGCCGCTAGTGGGCTAATACCCATTACAATGACATTATAGATAGATATAATATTTCTCAAATGAATCCAAAAAAATTTGTCCACAACACTGCATACTTACATAACCGGTCTGTCCCTTTAAACAAGTGTAAAACGCATTTACAAGAATATAATCTAAAATATAAGTCTTATTTATTTTTGTTTTGTTTTCCATATTAAAGCTTCTCGATAAAAAGTTTCTGTTAAGAATATATTTCATGTTTTAACTTGTAATCTCAAATTTCTAAAGACAGCTATAGTCCTTTTTCAGTCTTTGAAACAACCTTTATTACCGATTGTAAAATGTCGTTAAACTTAGACGAAAACAGTTCTTAAAAATTTGTTAAGAGTAAGGACTCCAGAAAGAAATCAATTTTCTAAAATCTAGTTTTGCCTTCTACTATTGTAGTTTAAATTTTTCGAATTTTCTAGAATTTAAGATTTGTCTGAAGAGGGAGGGGGTGCAGAGGCGCCATGATCCCCGCAAAAATGACCTCCGAGTCTCCGGATTTGCAGAATTAGCTCCAGGCCCCGCAAAACTGGTCTCACAGCCTCCGTGACGTCACCAAGCCTCCCGCAATTCTGTCTCCACGCCCTGCATTTTGGCTCCAATAAAAAAATATTTGGCTTTTATTTCTTCCAAGAACCTTTTTTTAAAAAAATTTCAACATGATGAAATAGTTCAGAATGGTACATTAACATTTTGCATTAAAAAGTGAATTTTAATTGTATTTTGTTTATCTAAATTTCACAAATTCCTTAAATTGTGAAGAACTATTGCAGTTTTCTATAAAGATAGAAAAATTTTATATTATTTTAGAGGGGTCTCATATACAAATCAAACAATATCAGCGGCAATTTACAAAACACGGTAGTTTTTGTGAAATCCTTGTATTTGTGATTTTATCGTATGCTTTAGAAAATATTGAAGAACTATTTTTTTTAAAATTAAAACAAAGAATTAAAATAATCTAAATATCTATTACATGCTATACTAACAGGTTAGGGCAGCTTCGTGTCATATCTTGTTGTTTTAATAAGTTAAATTTAATTCTAAATAGTTTTTCTTTTAGCGAGAGAATTCATTTATTTGACTTAATATACAGAGGTTGGGGGGGGGGGGG